AGGGGGCTTAGGCAGACTAAAACCCGAAGCGGCGTTGGGATCAACCCTGTGGTGTGAAGTTTGGATGCGGCCGGCACTGTGCACGCCTTGTCGCACATACTCCTCCTCCAACCACTGGCGCAGGACCTTCAAGGAAGAGAGCCCAAAGCGAAAGACACGACGGCTCCCGTGGCTGTCGGTTTTGGCAAGACCTTCACCATGGGGAAGGATGGTCCACTTGTGTTTTCGGACCGCCTCGGCCGCCACCGGAAACAAGTCCGACCATGGATCGACGGCCTCTCGGAGGGGCACGTCATCAAGCCAAGAAGGCCGTTTAGCGACGAAGGACTCCACACGGCGAAGGGCTGTGTAGTCCTGCATGAAAAAGGGGTCGGTGTTCCACCCCATCATGCAGTGTTGCAGGAAGTACGGCACCTCGGGAGTGAAGCTTCTTCGAAAGGCAGCAAGGACCTCGGACCTGATGGTGGAGAGAACGGCTTTGCCCGGGGAGGCAACCCCAGCACACCAAAAGACAGCTGAGAACCCCAGAGTCTAACTATACAAAAGAGCTGATTGAGAAGAAAGAGATGGCAGAATGTGCATGTCCGCGTGCGCTCAAGACGCACTTGGCCGTTTAGTATTATTGTGCTGGAAACTAGGAAGACAGAACGAAAATGCTTATGATGCTCGTCTGCAAACAAGGATCTGCCCTTGGGCTCAAACAACGGCTCAACAATGAAGCATGTTGAAGCATGTGCGATTTGCTTGTCAAAGCAAAGTAGAGCATCCCCTCTGAAGCGAAGTGCAAAGCCAGCTGGCTGTGCAGCAGCAGCATATCGCTGCATGCCTGTTGAAACAGAGCAGCTGTGCCATCATCGAAAAAAGCTCCCCCTTGTGCTCCGTCAGCATCCTTTCCATGAAGACGTTCCGCTTCAAGAGGACTGTGACCTGCTTGTGTATGAGCAGCTCGTCGTTGCAATATGTTGTCCATAGTGCCAAAAGGACCTCGCCAAAATATCTCAGCTCGGCAGCCTTGCCCCTGAGCTTGGGGCCACCAGTCCGACGAGTAAACATTGTCAAACGGCCCATGGACCTGTACCTGACAGGAGTCTGATGGACTCTGTAAAACTCGCGAATGAATCGCCAACAAGCCGCGAGGTTGAGCTCTGGACTGCCCTCCAGCATGACGTCGTAGCAAAGGAGAGATAGCACACTGCCATATTGCACCTGGTCCGTGCCCAGGTACTTTGAATGCATGTAATCAAGAGCAATTTGCAAAGCAGACATTCCAGGTATCGAAAAGATCGGATTCCGGCTTCGATCTGCCCATGCATGCCATGTGTGCGGTCGCCACATGCTTGCTCGCCACGGAGCTGCAGAGCCAAAGTTGGACCACGTCAGGTCGCCGCTTAAGCTTGCCCTGCATAGGGGGCACGGCATTGAAGCATTGTTATAGTTGGGCAATTGCAAAATTTGCGTGAAGTAGTCGAGGTCCCCACAGAGGGACCAGACCACACCGTAGAATCCATTTGCCAGTGCTGAGCCGGCTCGCTCGGCCTGCACGGTGCCTTCTGGAAACCTGTTCTTTTCATTCATGGTTCATTCCTTTATGGGCTCATGTCAACGATTACCCGTCAGACTATCTTTAATTATTGTTGGCTTCTAGACAGAATGATTTTCGCAAACACAACAACTCCTACTCAAAAACTTGCGTTTTCTTTTATGTCTGTCTTATATAGTGAACATCTTAGCAAAAGAAAACAATGTTGAGTCCATCCTGCCTTCGGCCCTCGTGGTCTCTCGTCGGCCAGTACCCATGCCAAAGAGCAGTCAAAGACCAGGCAAAGATCTTCCAGAGCTGCTGCATGGTAGCTCTGGGTCCATCCTTGATACCAGTTCTCTCGATCAGTCCGAAGGCGCAGTATTGTGTCGACTTGGTTGAGGTCTCGCCCAACAAGCTCGACCATGACACACTCAGAAGCTTCTTGCTCCATTGCTTCCCAATCCCAGCAATGGGTACTTCATCGCCATGCACGGCGAGGGGGATCGCCCCCCTCAAGTCGCGAGCCTGGACTGGATGTACCTCCCAAGCAGGGTGAGGAACCGTTCGCATACGATCCCAGAATTCCATACGTGCTTCTTCGTCGCCACAAACGTTGCGAACAAAAGCTTCTCCATGATTTTCGTACATAGAACTGAACAGTTCGCGAGGCAGTAACAGCTCTTGTGTATGTTCACCGGGAGGGTTGGCGAAGGAGAGCTTGGCCTTGTAAGTCTCAGCCATGTTGATTCTTGGCTCCACCTTCCGCATAAGGTCGCCGTAGCACTTGTTGCTGAACTTTCCAAAGGAGCCGATGGATGCCAGCACTGTAAGCTCCTGAAGGCAAGGACCAGCCGCTGCACTCGCAGAGACACCGTGCTCTTCTTGCAGAGTTGTAAGCACGTCTTTCCTGGCCGCATCGGCCAACTACTGCAGAAGCTGTGGGCTCATGTTGCCCCATGCGAAAAGATCCAACAGCTCGCGACCCAAACAGCTGTTGGGACACAGCGACTTCATGAGATCTGCATCATGGTCTGGGGGCCCACCATCATCACCACCATCGTCCCGCTCACCATCTGACTCAGAATCTGTAGCGATTCCCTCTTGGTAAGGAGCAGGTCTGTCGGCTCCAGCTGCACGTAGTCGTTGCTGAATGCCACCTCGAAAAACATTCCTCCTTCGACCGCCAGCAGAGGAGGCAGAAAAAGGCCTCTTGGGCCGCCCCAAGGTACTGCCCCTTCCAGCCATGAAAGCCCTTCAACGAACCTTTTTGGCCATTGTTGGGCACACGGGGAAGAAGTCCTGCTTATTGTTTAGTTCTACTTGCTTATCCACTTGTTATCTGGTTTGGGGTCGGTTGTAGCGGTGGTCGTGGTGTTGGGGTGCTAGTGCTGCTGCTGCTGCTGCTGCTGCTGCTGCTGCCATGAAAGTCACTAATAATAGTAATAATAATAATAATAGTAATAATAATAGTAATAATAGTAATAATCGTAATAATAGTAATAATAGTAATAATAGTAATAATAGTAATAATAGTAATAATACTAATAATAGTAATAATACTAATAATAGTAATAATAGTAATAATAATAATAGTAATAATAATAGTAATGATAATAGTAATAGTAATAATAGTAATAATAGTAATAATAGTAATAATAGTAATAATAGTAATAATAGTAATAATAGTAATAATAGTAATAATAGTAATAATAGTAATAATGATTGTTCATCTAGAACTAGAACCGCGGTTTTATCATACTGCCAGTGCTGCTGCTAGTGGTCGTCATCAGGCTGATTGATATAGAATGGTATCAAAGTCATGTTTCCTTCCCTTGTTTGCTGCTTTTGCCCATGGTCTGCAGACCTGCAGTGCATCAATAAAAATGGTGCCATCGCTGCAGGTCGTTGATTCCTGTGTTCTGCTGGTCTTCTCTCGTGCTCTCAAAGAAACCCTCTCAGAAAAGTAGCAAGGGTAGGGTCTTCATGGGAAAGTTGTTCTTGTTTACTATTACTACTACAAATAACATGTATTCCCTGCTAGTCTCCGATACCTCAGACAAGCCCCATGATTAAATGTTAGTGTTCTCTTTGCTTTCAGAATAGGTTGATGGCTTGTGTTTGGGTATTCGAGTGTGTCTCCAAACTTTCACTCAGCAACTTTACATATCTTGAGGACAACAGTATCGGCTCGCTGCTGCAAAACAAGGTCCAGTAATCATGGAGGAATATTTAGAAGTAGCCTGGCGGCTTTTGTGGCTAAAGGGTGTAGTTTTTGTTAGCTTTGCTATTCTCATCGGGATCTTGCATCGAGTCCTCCTTAACCCAAAAAAGCGCCGATTTCCACCCAGGACCCTTGTTTTACTTGAGGTGCCCCCCCCCCCCAACCATCAAAGAAGAACCTCAACAAAAGCCCTGCATTCTTGGGCTTCTGCAGACATGCACTGTATTATTATGCATGACGATGCCACCGCTACAGGTCTCTGATTCCTCTCTTCTGATGGTCTCTGGTGTTGCTCTCAAAGAATATCCCTCCTAGATAAGTGGCACGGGTTCTTCTAATAATATGTATTCTCTGCTAATCTCCGATACCTCGGACAAGTTTCATATCTAGTCGTTGGTTAGTTGTCTCTTTTGCTCTCAGAGAAGGCCTTTCAAAGTAGGTTCATGCTTTTTGTTTGTATCGTTATGCCGTTATGCAAGCCCTCGTGCATAATAGTATCAAAAATATTTCTTTGTGTGTCTGAGTCTATCTAAATAATTCGATATAATATGATATCCACACGTACCTCTCTTCTGCTTTCTAAAATAACTGAACACACTCATCACTCTCGGCAAGTTGGCATAGCAAGCTTGATGACAACAACAGCACGATATTATGTACAACAGCTTGTCAACATCAACAACACCGAACACTTGAAGACCCGACACTGTCGCTGACGGCTTTGTGCTTTGTTTTCTCGCAAAACAGCTGGACTGGTGCTGGTGCACGAAAGGATGCTGGTAGTAGCATCGCACTCCTCAGCGACATTGTGCATGCCGAGGTGCACATGAATGCCGATACATACGGCCCCGCCAAACCGGCAAGGCTGCTGATTCCCCCGCATCCATAATGCAGGCCCGAATGGCCGACTGCAATGAATAGTGATTGCTCCACTTTCGCTTGCAAGCCAAGAATCTGTAGAATGAACATAATAAGACTAATAATAAGAAATAGTAGTCCAAGGCTTTGAATCCCAGCCGGCACTAGCTCAACACATCGTCCACCCGGGTTGCACATACACGAAGTGCCAGGAGCTCGATGCAACATGATCGTGTTGTTGCTGCACTGCATGCTGGCATAGCCATGATATTGGAGCAAAGGCGAGCCTATTTTGAAGGAGAAGATACCGGCGCCGGGGATTAGGGTTCGTAACTGGTGACTAGTAAGTAGTCCAGCAGCAATACAGCATGCACGATCGGGAAAACGTGGCGATGGTGCTCACACCACCGCCTTGGCTGTCTTTGCCAAGGCCTTCCCTGCATTCACAGCTTCGTTGTGGCTGAGGGTCTTCTGAGCCACCACCTTGATGAACTGCTCGAAGGATTGCTTGCAAATGGTTTCACCACCCGGCATTTCCTTGAAGGACATCACGTGGCGAAGATCGCTCAGGATCTTCTGAGCATGCATGTAGCAAGCCTTCAGGTTCTTCCATTCGTTGTTCCATTCGTTGGAATCCTCGCCAATCCTTGATAAGCACCGCTAATATAAAATGCCAGGATACTTTTGGGGATACTTTGAGGGATACTTCCAGGGATACTTTGAGGGCTACTTTGAGGGCTACTTTGAGGGCTACTTTGAGGGATACTTTGAGGGATAGTTTGAGGTCTACTTTGAGGGATACTTTGAGGGATCTTTGAGGGATATTGGGAGTGATACCTTTTTGTCTGATTATACCTTTCTAGGGGCTAATATTACTCCGAGGGACACCAAGGGATGCCGAGGGAAAAAACAATGATGCCTTTGAGGATATATGGCGAATTTCATGTAGCATCCGTGGTGTGTTGTGTGTGCATGCCTTTGAACACTATATGCTGCATGTGTTAACAAGCTCTGACAAAAAAACACTGAATACAAAAGGAGACCCAGAAACTTCTTCAGCAGCTTCATGCTCTCGTTCGAAAGGCGGATGGTGGCCTGAATCGAGGTCTCGAGGAGCGAAATCATCTGGCTGAATCTTCGAAGGGTCCACGGTCTTAAAGTCCACCGACCACTCCAAGGTGTTGAACAAGTCCTCCAATTGGGCCGCCTGTTGCGGTGTTCCTCGCCTCTGCTTCTTGTAGCCCAAATCGGTTTCACAACCTCTCTCCGTCCCCGTGGCCACCTTCCGGAAGGTATACATGACTGTGCCCTCCTCGGTCTTGATCTCCTGGATTTGGCCGGCGGTCATCGCCCTGTCCATCGCCTGCAGCAAAACCACCACGATAGCGACAACACAAGAGTTCAAAAAATAGGCTTCAAATATATTTGTAGTAGTAGTAGTAGTAGTAGTAGTAGTAGTAGTAGTAGTAGTAGTAGTAGTAGTAGTAGTAGTCGTAGTAGTAGTACTAGTAGTACTAGTAGTACTAGTAGTACTAGTATAATAATCAGACCCCAAGGTATCACTCCCAATATCCTTCAAAGTATCCCTCAAAGTAGCCCTCAGTTGTTGTTTTAGTTTTGTTGTTGCTGGTGTTGCTATTGTCAGCCAAGTCACTGCCTGGGAGTTGTTGAAAAACAACCCCCGCATAACCAGCGGGGGGTAGGCCTCCTTTAGATCAACACCGAACTTCTTCTCGAAGACCCGCTTCGCTTCCGTAAACAGCGGGGAGTTGTCGACGAGGCTGTAGCGACCGCTTTTGCACCTTTTGAAGAGAGAGTTGATTATGGTTGTTCTGAATGCCCTGGGGCTCTCCTTCTTGTCGGCCTCCTTGTCGTAGAGGTCGAGCACGTACGGCGGCAAGGACCCGGCGAGTTTCATCGCCTTGAACTTCTCGGCCTTGCCCTTGTCCCGCTTGGCATCCTTGCGGCCACCATCCTCGCCGGCGGCCCCGGAAGCCGCATCGTCATCGAAGATATGCTCGGTCTCCATTGAGCCCATCTTCACATTGTTCACGGATTCCTGCAACGAGGCGGCAGCCGGCCTCTTCTTGGCCTTTCCGGAGCCTCCGTTGTCCTTGCTAAGCTGTGTCTTCTTCTTCCCGATCATGTTCTTGACATTCTTGACCTTGGTCACGGCCACTTCGGCACCATTCGGCTTGCTGCTGCTGGAGCGAGTAGCAGCTGCGGGCTTCCTCAAAACGGCCATGATTCTTTTCTCGAAGAATGTCACTGTAGGACCGGACACGGAAGGAAGGCAGGTGCAGCCTGTCGGTGCAAAGCAAAAGCTATATGCAGGCACGAAATGTATTCGTCAATTGGGGACAGCAACCTACAAAGTGATGTCCATGGTTCTTTGGAATTCGGGTTTCTGAATCCGAATAGTTCAACAAACTTAGCACAAATTGTCGATACACGAGCACGAAATCTATAAGTACAAACCCGAACTTTACTCGAAATTTCCTCGAAACTTCGACCTAGAAACTCGAACTTTACTCGAAGTTTCCTCGAAACTTCGAGTTAGCAACTCGAAGTTTAACTCGAAGTTTCATGTGCCCTAAGTCGAAGTTTCTATATGTACATGTTACAAAACCCAGGCAAATGACACATGCTAACTCGAAGTTTCGAGTTTTGCATCTTAAACTTCGAGTAAACTTCGAGCAAAGTTCGAGTAAACTTCGGGTTTCCTAACTCGAAGTTTCGAGGAAACTTCGAGTAAAGTTCGGGTTGGTTCTTCGAAGTTTCGATGGAATTTCGAATAGGTTTCTGTCTTGGTACCTCTAGTCTTTTGTGAATTTAAGTATTAAACCATTGAGCGAATCGTAGGTGTCGTGCGACGAAACAACTCGGAATGTGCATGCCCGGACACCGAACTAGTGCTGCAAAACTCTCAAGGACACCCTCAGAAGAAGCACAAGCATTCATCTCTCACAGTAATGACAGCCATGGTATGTGCATGTCCCGACACCGAACCATCTCTCATCAAAGACTCAGAAGCTCAAGCATCCATCTCAACTCTTTTCCTTCGTCGTGGGTCGCCGCCACGGATCACACATGTGACCTGCTAAGGTCTTTGCACTGCAGGAACGACGTCGTTCATAAATAATCATAGCAGGCCCACCATATAAATACCCAATGATGATACCACAGCCCTCGGCAGCCGGCGATCCTCACCTCTTTGGGTTTTCTGCATCGAAAGCCTGTCCGGCCTTCTTGTGCGCGGCCTTGGCCTCGGCTCGGGCAGCAGCGATCATCTCAGCATTCTCCTTGTCCTCGCCTCGGGGACGGTTCGCTTCCCATGCTTTGTGATAAGCTTTGCTCACCACTTTGTGTCGCAACTGTGCTCGTGTGAGCTCCGGCTCGACCTCCATGTCATTCTCCCACGGCTCCTCCTCTTCGCCGCCGCCGCCCTCTTCTTGGTCACCTTCTCCCCACCACCAGGACTCGGAAGCATGAACATCCTCTGGCTCGGCCGTAACCTGCCACAACAGCTCAGAATTCTTGGTTTTAGGTTCATAAGGGGTTATTATTGTGATTGGGTTTAGGGGTTTAGGTTTGGGGGTTGAGGGTTTAGGCTTTCTAGGCTGTTGTCGAGTTGTTTAAGGAGAGCTCAGAAGGATAATGATAGTTGTTTTGTTTGGGAAATAAAAAATCGGCGCTTTTCACTCATGCTGTTGGCAACCCCAGCAACATAAACAAACCAAGCCTAGCAACTTGCTGACTGTCAGCCCCCCCCTCGGCTGCCTCATCCTCCTCCACTGCGGCCTGACTAGGGACGTCATCTTCGTCCTGGATGTCACCGGCCACATGCAAGACGACCAAAGCGCAGCCTTCCTGAGTTGCATGCGAACAGGTATGAAGACAGTCATCCTTCAAGCTCGCTCTCTCCGGCAGCTCCTAGCTGCCCTGACGAATTTTTCAAGATCTCAGTGCGAGACCGGTTCGAGCCCTTGTACAGAGGATGTGCGTCAAACCGAGCAGTACCCTACCCCGCAACAACGACCCGACCCCCAACATGTAGGCCGCCCTGGTCCCAAGTCCAGGGGTGAGTTGAATCCAACATTGCATCCGATGTTGAAGATTGTCATCAGCAGCCTTCTTGCGCACTCCGCACAGGCGGTTCGACTCACAGACACGAGGGTTGGGAGCTCTCCACACCAGGAACTCCCTGAAGCACGAACCAGCAGCTTCAATTGCCCTCTTCATAGTGCAAAACCAAGCCGGTGTTTACAGTCCAGGGATCCCAACTTCCCTTCCCCCAACATAGGAAACGAACCCTTCGTAGAGCCCAGAAACGAGCCCAGCAGCACGGACAGGCTAAGTATCGTGGCAGATGGCTTAGTCCTGAAGAACTTGGAGTTACTTATGCCCCACGACAGCCCAAACCCAGAGCCAACACTGCCGGCCGTGGAAAGCGACTCACCTTTGTGTCCTGGAACGCGGGGGGCCTCTCGGCCTCCCGGCACAGAGAACTCAAAGCCTGGCTTCGAAGCCCCGCAGGCCTTAGCACCCAGCTTATTGCAATTCAGGAAACCCATTGGCAGGGTATGCTTGAATATACGCAGGATAGGTTTCTTGCTGTTCATTCAGGCGGGGATAAATCCGAAGCGGGCCTTTTGCTGTTGGTTGACAAAGCAGTGTTTCCGCCGGCTATGGTGCAACATAGGAGCATTATCCCTGGACGCCTCATGCATGTACGCCTGGAAGCTGAGCCCTCAATAGATGTCATAGTAGGCTATCAGCATGCTTGGACCCTACCTAAAGGAGGATTGCAAAAACCTGCGGCCAAAGAAAACCTGCTGCTACGCCGGCATGACTTTTGGACGGCTCTGTCTGACTGCATCAGTGGTCTTCCCCGTCGAAACCAACTTGCTTGCATTGGGGATTTTAATACGGACCTCCATCCGGATGGCACACATGTAGGTAGAGGGGTCTTTAGGCGCCCCACCTCACATGCCACTGATGCCCCAGCCTTCCAGGAAATCCTCAAACATCACCAGCTAGTTGCTCTCAACACCTGGCGCAAGCAGGGACCGTCAGCATGCACGTTCCTCTCTTCCTCTGGCGATGGAGGCTGCAGTCAAATAGACTTTGTGATCGCACGGCCTCACAATCTGGACCCTGAATCCCGCAAAGTAGGCCCTAAGTATCTTCCTTTTGTCCCGGTCACTGGATTGAGACATCTTCCTCTTGCTGGCAGCATCCCGTACCCTAAGGTTCCTAAAGGTAAACCTCCGGCCCATCAAGTTAGCTTAAGGCAAGTTCGACAGCTAACTAGCAGATGCCCGACGGCTGTGCCAGTGTTTCAGCAGACGCTAGAGGCCCTGCATTTGCATGCACCCACGCTTACTGCAACGCAGCTACTGCAGCAAGCGTGGAGCTCCACTGCAGCACTTTTCTCCGCCTCGCCCAACACGGCAGCTGACGGATCGCGGGAGGCTTCCGTCAGTCAGGTCTGGGCACTGCGGCGCCAAGTGCGCATAGCCCGAGCTCGCAAGAATAGAAACCTTAGGGATCACCTTAAACTTTGGAGAGCTATCACAACCCTGCAGCGCACACAGAAAGCACTTCAAGCGCATAGTCGGCAGGCACGCAAGCAACGCATACATGACATGTTGCGCGAGGCGGCGCAAAGCCCTGGCAGTCTCACCTCCGTGTTTCGACTCCTACTTGGAGGATCGGCGGTGTTATATTTGTATAGAGCACTTACTATGTGCATGCAGCACTTACGGCGGGACTTACATCCTAGGCAGGTAACTCACTTTCAGCACTTAGGATTACCATTAAAATAACTAAGTTAAGGCTGTGGACTAACCTGGTTAGAGCATTGGGGCTAAGTACATTTTCCAACTTACGGCCAAGTGGGCTAAGTGGGTTCGGGCCTCCATGGCTAAGTGGGCTAAGTGGGTTCGGGGGGCAGGAAAACATCGGTCAAAATGCACATCCACAGTGACTTTTTGGACTCTTTAAAGCAGGGTTCCAAAGCAGATTCGTTTGTAGATTTATAGACATTTGCTAGTATGCGTATATGCATATTTATGCATGCATGACACATGCATGTTTGTCACGTGTGTCTGTATTTTTGTCTATATATCTGTATAGAGATATACAACTATATTGTCACATCAGTCTGTAATTTTCATGTGTACATACATAAATATATATATATATATATATATATTAATACATGAATATATCTATACATGTGTTTATGTTTTATATATACAGACAAAGTTATACCCACATGAATGTATGTATGTATGTATGTTTTGAACTGGTGGTAAAATGTGTACGGATACAATACAACACTATACAATGCATCTTGCTAACTCTCCCTATATGCCAGTATATACATATGCAAAAAAACTCTATATATATACCCTTTGTATATAAACATATATGTGTATATATATATATAGATATCCCCTTTCTACAATCCCGGTAAACTCTTAAACCCGGAAGGTCGTCATATATATATATATATGTATATATATATATATATAGAAACCTCTTATATGTATGCCCTCCATTTACATAACCACGTATACCTATCTATACAACCCTATAACCCCAGAAACCACGGCACAGCGTCGGCCGCAAAGAGCATGACATAGGCGGCAGCCTGCATGCGTGGAAAAGGGGTCGTGTGCTCTCAAGCAGGTGGATTGATTATACTTGGTATTCCTTACAGGGGGCTGCGAAAAGTTGTGGACGGTAATTGAGTCGCAGCGATGCTTCAAGCGATCTACATAGAAACTTCATTTGCGGGCAGTGGCAGGTCATATTTATCTACATACCTGGCACTTTGTGGAGTTGATGCGGACGACACGGGGCTTCCCCAGCACATCAGACATGTTACATAACTCCTGTATATATACACGTACAAAGTCAGACTCCATGACCAAAAGGGGACCACTTCGAAACAATTGCCAACACGTGAAAAGGTTCTATATTGTAAATGAAGCTTCCAATAGATGATGGTTGAGTGGTATAAGGAAGTGGATGTGTAGACATGAGACCCGTGTTCTAAAACTGAATAGTCTGGGGCGCAGGCGAACAGCTTTTCTTGCGATGATCTGCACGGTTTCTGGTGTAGCAACATCCCTTATAGAGATGATTGCTGGCTGTGCGAACAAGTCCTGCACAGCACTCTGCGAGATTCGACCCTGCAGAACGGAGACGACGACAGCACCTTTACATGGGCATGCTCAAAGGTATGACCGAAGCGCGGTCACCTTCCTTCTTGAACATGCAAAGGCGGGAGATGTGCGCTGTCGGTCTGAAAACAGGCTCCTGGCATATGCAAATTGCGTCCGAAAGCGCTGCACACAGACATGCAGGTATAATGGTTTCCGTTGAAAACAACGTGAAACCAGACCTGTGCCACCTCGTCGCCATTGGGCTCACTGACGACCACCACGTCCTCCCTCTTGCAGAGGCGGCCACTGCCAACATAGCATTTCATGCTAACCTGGAGTCCAGCGCAGGCGGGCAAGCCGAAGAAAGAGGAAAAAGCCGATTGCACCAACTCGGGAGCAGCTTTACCGATCAGTCCAGCTCTTTTTTCGGAGAGCTCCTTGAGGTCCTTGAGGTGTTGTTCCAACTCCAGTTGAAGGACGTGTTTCTCCGAGCCGGTCTGCATGCTGTCCAAGTTGTTTGCGTATCTCTTTATCTCATGGGCACGGGCGCGAACATGTCAATCACTGGCGGGACACACTGGAAGAGAGCGGGAATCCTAGCTGCAGACACAGCAAGATATCTGCGGCGATGCCTGCAGATATACCCAAGCGAGCGTGCCTGCCCTGCAAGGATACGGCAAACTGCATGGTGGTTTTCGATCAATCCAACCAATTTCCCTGCTCAACAACCCTTCAATCCTTTATGAGCCAATGTTGCGCAACATTGGGGGCCATGGTTTTAATGTTGAAAAATATTCTTCTAGGTTCCCTCTAAGCCCCCAATGTTGCGCAACATTGGGGGCTATCACCCCAATGTTGCACAACATTCTTTTATTATTTTTCAATGTTGAAAAATATTGTGACCCTGCATCCTGAATCCCCCAATGTTGCGCAACATTGGGGGCTATGTCCCCAATGTTGCAAAACATTGTTCCCATTAGCTCCCGATCCAAAGAAAAACCAAATGATCAGCTATCATATCGCGGTCTAGGCACAGTTCCCCCCTAGTCCGTAACCCCGAACCCCTAAACCCCTAAACCCCTAAACCCTAAACCGCCTTCAATCCCCAAACCCCTAAACCCCTCCTCTCCTAAACCCTTTTCGACCCTTTTCGACCCTTCACCCCTATATCGCCTTCAATCCCCAAACCCCTAAACCCCTAAACCCCTAAACCCCTAACCCTAAACCCTAAAGCCTTCAATCCCCAAACCCCTAAACCCCTTAACCCTAGACCCCTGAAAACTTCAATCCCCAAACCCTTAAAACCCTAAACCCTAAACTCCTATAAAGCCTGCAATCGCCAAACCCCTGAACCCTATAAACCCCTGCCAACCCCTATAATAACCAACCCTATATGCCAAACCCAACTAACCGTATGAAGTCAAGCCATTATGCACACGAGCAAACCAAATCCATCAACCTCTCAATTTGACCTTGATCCCATAGAAAACCCTCCGTCCTATTGTAGGTATATGCCTCTTAATATATAGAAACCCCTCGATATACCTCTACATCTACATGCATCACCTTAGACAACAAACTCACATGATGCAAGTTTCACTCTCTTGCAATGACATGTATGAAAAAGCATACACATACAGTGCTCTATATATATATATATATACTTTTTGCAATATCATCTAAATTGACATTTATATGATACACCTTCTATATACTATTTATATATATATATATATATATATAAGGCATTTAACAAAGTCGAAGTAAAGTCAACCCAAGCCCGTGCCCTTGGCTATAAGCTCTATAGATATATATATATATATGTATATATACAAGGGAGTCACAGTATACTCCCGCCATTTACAATTTCATAACATGCTGTTCAGAGCACTGGGCAGAAAACCGAAAATGCTCATACCCTAAACCCCCAAAACGAAAACCAAACAAAAACATTCAGAAAACAAACAGATGACGAAGTTAAAACCTTGAGCCCGCCCCCCACCCTCGCCTAAACCCAACCGCCCCCCTGCCTTGAGCAGGGGCTCGTAGACGCGGTGGCCGCGGCAAGACATGGGAATGGGGTTTATAGGGCAGAGGGTTTGTAAAATGGTGTTTGTACGGTTTTGTTGTTTTGGTTGTTGTTTTGGTTGTCTATGTTTATGTATATGTATATATATATGTATATATATGTATATATATGTACATACATTTATCATTCGGTTTTTTGGGCTTCCGGACCTGTGCATTTTCTCGGTGTAGATATGGGTCTGGCCAGGTTTATATATGCAACGTATATATATATATATATATATATATATATATATATATCTTCCTACGTCTATGATAAGTATATATCCGTTTATTATATATATATATATACACCTGACGCAAAGGTGCCAAGATGCAGACTCGATTCGTGTCTTTTGATATCGTCCATACGAAGTTACGATATTGGAATGTAATAGTTCGCTATGTTATACAAAACATGTGAAACAACGTACAAATACATGTGTGTGCATGCGGGTGGCGACGTATGCTCACATGCTCTGTCATATATACACGTACGCGTATATATGTATATGTGTGTACAAAGGTATATATGTATATACATGTATAAACATACATATATAAAATTTTACCGTGGGTCTATGTTACATTCTTACGCAGCAATCTTTATGCATTTCATTCAGCTTAAGAAAACATTCCAAAAGCACAAAGATATACATTGGATTTTTGATGAAATATACAATATTTTCATACGGTTTAAGGCATGGTCCGTGGGCCCCCCTGACCCACTTAGCCCACTTAGCCCGGAACCCAGTTAATCCACTTACGCAGCGACGGTTCTAACCCACTAAACGCACTTAGCCCTAAGTCTGTTTTTACATTTAACATAGTTAGCTATACCCCCATGTTTGCACTTATAAGTAAACACGTAAGTACATATAGCTGTGCCATGAACTACATGATAAGTGGAATAATAACTTATGGTTTTAGCTAAGTGCTTACCCTCATGCCGTAACCACATACTATGTCCGTCCCTGCATATATCTGACATGCATCACATACAACCATAGTTACCGGAATTATAAGTGAAGTTATCCCGTTTATAACCAGACTTATAACTACTTTGCACATACGATAAACGCGCTATTCAAATATAACCCCGACGATCCCCCAAGTACGAGTCGTTGCCCCGGCTGCGCCTCGCAAGCGCTTGCAACTCCGTAATGCCCAGGGCATGCCCCTAGACACTGCGGCGGCCATCGAGCATGTGCGCCAATACTACCATCATCTTTTCAATCAACAACCCGACATTGCTCACCCACAACCACCCAGACAACCTCTTCAGCTCAGCCTGTCAGAATTTAGCACAGCACTACAGGGCATACCACCAGCAAAGGCTCTGCCTTCCACGGAAGTGCCTGCGTTACTCTGGCAGGCAGGGGCGCAAACCCTTGCGGGCAAGCTGCTGCCGCAGTTGAACTGCTGGCTTGCGGATATGACCAAGCCGCCGCAGGATGATTGGCACATTGCGGAGATCTGTTTGATCCCCAAACCCTCTAAGCCCACGGTAGGTCCCGACACCCTAAGGCCTATCTCCCTCCTGCATCCTGTTGCTAAAGCATTGGCTAATGCCCTCAACCAGCGGCTACTACCGCACATGCTACAAAGTGTTCAAGCACTGCCGCAATATGCTTACGTCCCACAGAGATCTGCGCAAGATGCCCTAGACAGGGCTCTTCTTCACTGTCGCCATGTCAGGGAGGTGATGCATGCCCAACGCCATACCATTCACCTCAAACATCAGAACCATCAACCAGATGAGGTTATGGGAGGCTTGACCCTTTCCCTAGATCTGCAGAAAGCGTTCGATCTCTTACCCAGAGCTCGTCTACAAGAGGCCCTAGATGCTTCGGGAGCGGAGCCAGACTTGGTATGGACGATCCTTAAAATTCATGATTGGGCTTCCATGAAGTTCAAGATAGGACACCATGAGACCTGTGTCAGTTCATCGAATGGCGTACGCCAAGGATGTGGGTTGGCCCCCAGCTTATGGGTCCTTTATACGTGCCTCATTCTTAAAGCATTCCAGAAACGCATACCGACCCACAATCTCACGGCCTTCGCAGATGACCTGCTTCTGCAATGGAAGATCACCAGCCGACAGCAGTTTGAGCAGGCATGTAAGGACATTGGTTTCGTTTTGGCGGTTCTTCAGGACTTTGGGATGCGCATAAGCACCGAGAAAACAGTCATCCTCATCGGACTCCGGGGCACGGCGGTCACCAACCTGCTCAAGCGGCATGCGCACAAGGATCCCAAAAAAGGACGGCTCTTCAAGGTCACAGTCTCCACCTCTGTCACACCATCCCATATCTATCTGCCGGTGGTTGACAAGCATACTTATCTCGGTGTTCAGTTGTCGTATCAGCAATTTGAGTCCTACACTCTGACGCACGGACTTAAGCAATCATGGAGTGCCTTTCATAGGATAGCACGAGCCCTGAGATCCAAGAGCCTCTCCTTGAGACAGCGCCTCTTGATTTGGCGTGCATGCCCATTTGCCAGTTTGTTGTACGGGCTTGATTGCCTGACACTGTCGCAGCGAGACATTCAGCGTTTCTATCAGCACACCATCAGACAATTGCGATCAGTCTGCCGCGACCCAGTGTTCATCAGCCGGGAGCACGCCGCAGCGTTCCTAATTCGTTATCGCATTGCTGACCCCGTGCGCAGCTTGCTCGGGCGTTGCCAGCTACGGGTCCGAGCTAAGCACATCCTTGAAGAAACACCTGTTTGGACCGCAGCAATGCACAAGTGGTGGCGCAGTTTAGATACTTACGCTACTGACCTCCTGGACAGGCGGGACCCCGCTAGCACTGGACGCAATTCAGGTGGCACTGGCGCTAATCTGCAGCCCACTGTGCTCTATGCGGCTCCGGTTGCATGTCCTGACTGCGGTGTGTATTTTGCCACCACTGCTGACATGCGCAAACATCGCAGTCAAAAACATAGGGAAGTAGTGTCGACCGTCGGCCCGCAGCAGCAGATGACTACGCAACAACTCCGGGACCGATACATGCGGCATGCACACAACGGTCTTCCTCAGTGCAAGCATTGTGGATGGCAGTTCAGTAGCTGGCACTGGTTCATACAACACTTCGCTCACAGCAGGTGTTCTTGCTACCATGATGCTTCGGTACCTAGTTCTGCAGTTACAGCCACACCATGCAGCTCGGATAGCACTCATCAAGAGCCTCCAGCTCAGCCGAACAATCCAAACATGACCAGTACGATACCTGCACTGCCACCTGCACAGCCCGACATGCTACTAGACCCGGCACTCCTGCATGCAGTTGATCCTGACCTTTTGAGCCTGGCCTCTGACAGAGACTGGCGGCCCCTTGCTGCAAAAATCAGACGATCCGACCAGCATCACTGCATGTTCTGCAATCAATGGCTTGCCCGACCCACCTACTTTAGTAGACATGTCAGAGTG